AGGCTTAATGACTGAGCGATTTGTGACACTCAGTGGTGTATCTAGGCAGGTTCCCTTTTCTTATCTTTCCTTATTTTTCTTATGTTACCAATTTCTTTCTTTCCCTTTTTCTTTTACAACATGGGTTCTTCGGTTATAATACTCAGTTTATGCCTGGCTCAAGTATTTAATTTTACAAGCATATTCAGATACAGATTGCCATGCATAATTACATAACATGACAAAATTAGAAATGGTTGTAACAATCTTTGCAATATTGTAATCTGTTGTATTGTTAATTTAATTCCAAGCTTAATGTAAAAATTGCTGTATGTGACTACCTTAAGGGCATTTACTTTAACAATACATGCAGACTGTTTAATAGCAAACACGTTTGAATAAAATTTTGAGACAACCAATAGATAAAACATTACTTTGCATGGTTAAAATCAGAAAATATAGTACATAAAGAAATACACAATTAAGTCATTTGACTGCATATATAAACAGTGATGTGTATCATCAACGTTCCAGTATTGATCGCAAAGTGAAACATGTTTTAAACTAATTGTGAAGCACTTTCACAAATGTATCCCAATAGAGTGCGACACAATTATTTGCCTAGAATTACTGGCGCAGTCTTCAGCAAGGCTGTAAAAACTAAAAGGCTTGGTGCACAAAAAAATCCCAAAAATTGTTTTAAAAACAAAGTCAAAGTCAAGTTGTTATCCAATGTTTTGGGCCAAAAATAGCACAATATGCTTGTGTTCACATCAAGTGCACGCATACAATGCTACATGTACGTCTTTGTTCATGCAGCTGGTTTGAGTAAGAGTCGAGCTTCTTTCATGTGTTTACAATATTACTTCTTATTTCGCCACTCCCCCCGTTCTGCTTCTTCTGTAGATCATGCACCTGTAGGTGCATGATTATCTTACTTTTTTTCTTGGCGCTGTTACTCCCATTGTTTACATCCAGAGTCAAACTCAATAGCTGTCAGACTTTCCCTGTCAGATTAGACAGTAAGTGTTTTACCTAAATCATGGATGGATTTAGGGGGTGGGGGTGGGCAAGCAAAAAAAAAAAAGAAAGAAAAAAAAATTGATAGCCCAAAATGAGGTTATTTTGGGCATCTAGAAGACACAGTTGCTGTGGGGGTATGCCCCAGACCCCCTAGGGTGGTGTTATCTCGATCAGCCCCCACTTTCAGACATCTCTAGATCCACCCCTGTAAATTATTTTTAGTGTTGAACGTATCACATTATTTTCTTATTGAAAAGTGTCATTTCTTCTCTTTAATAATCATTTATTATCACTCAGAGATGTCACCACGCTGGTCGGCGGTGGACGGGCCTGTCCAGCACTCAACATTTCCGACCAGGATTTACAGGCTCCCGACCACCACTATTATTTCAACAGTTTACAAATTGTAACAAAATAGTTAGTTTACCTAAACACAATAGACAAGCTAAATTGATAGATAAAGACAAGAAGAATACAATAAATGTTTCCGTGGTTACGTTAATTGTAACAGAATACTGCACTGCCCTGCTATTCATCGCTAACTGAACAGCTTAGGCCCAGTTGAGTCATAGCAAACGTCGTGGGCCGGCATGACACGGTTGCTGTACACATTCAAAGGTTAAAGCTGAAATCATGACCATTCAAGTGTTTTATTATGATAGCATGATCCGAGGCAGGAAGATTATTAAAAATTTACGAAACCTGATTTATGTTTTATATCTTTACTTTGTTTTCATTTTGTATTAGTTATAATTGATATATAATGTGTGTAAATAGACAAGAAATAAATAAATGCACATGAATCAGTGACATACACAATCATCGTGGTAATCGTCAAACATGTGAAATTACGGCAAACAATGCGGCTGAGTACAGTCGGATCGACGCTTTGTCGCCGGGATTTGTTCATTATTATTATATAAATTATTATATATATATAAAACAAAGCATGTCAACTATTGAATTTAATTAGGCCTACAGTAAGTCTCATCTTCATCTGTTTTGTTGCATTCCTCAAATTCTGGCCTAGGCCTACCTGGGCCTAGCCTAAAAAAATCGCATCAGCTAGCCTTGGGCCTGGCCTGCTTGACTTAGGCCTTTTGGTTTTTAAGAGCTTCCACGAATACGGCGAGCCCCCCGCCCCCCTGGGAAAACGCGGAATGATCGCCGACTGACACTCCAAAAAGCTGGTGACATCCCTGATCACTGCAGAAAAAAAAATGCTGTGAACATTTTTGGAATTGCTACACAAAGCCAAAAGTGCAAAGCACTTTTTGCTACACACAAAAATTGCTGGCAATCGAACACTGATCAACAAAAAATATCTGTGTTATTAAGCTATTAAATTTCATGATTTCATTATTATTGTTCTGATTGACTGAAAAATACAAAGAGGTTCCTAATCTGCAGAAAGAAAAAAAACATGTTTCTGTAACATCCTTTAGGCAATGAGAATTACTATGTTAGGGTAATAAATCATTTGTAATAGATTTTTACTTACTGGTATAAACAGACTCATCATGCAATTCATCAAAATGATGAAATAAAATCTAAATTTAGAATTTAAATGCAAAATTGCAAGACAACATCAGTAATTTAAGAAACTTGTTTCCTGCTTATGTATCGTACATTTAAAAACTGGAATCCTTTTAAAAAAGAGCTTAAATCCTTAAGATGTCAATTTTTCTCACAACTAATTCTAAAATCCTTAATTCTCAAAAAGAAAAGACTTTAGTTCTGTAATAAGAACATACTTGCTGCTGGGAGAAAAAATAATGTGAAGACTTTTAATTCAATTGTGTTCTTCATGTTTTATTCGATCTTAAAGCTCCAGAAACCTATGAAGAGTTTGCACACATTATCGATGGTCACACTACCCAGGATGTACGCACCATCATTGAACGTATCAGAGCCACCAATCATCCTAGTCTAGCAGAGGGAAACAAACAGAAACTGGAAGAGTTTTTTGGTCATCTCCTTGTTCATTTTTGTGAAGTTGCAAGTGACGAACAGCTTAACATTCCCCTGTTAGATATTTTGACAAAGTAAGTGGGCTTATAAATTTGTGGTAAACTAAAAACCTCTTCATTGCAGGATTTTAAACCGATAACTCTGGGACATAATAACAATCTTTAATTACCATGATTGAAATTTTCTATATTTTTTTTGGCATTTTCTACCATTATAATAATAATAATATAGAAATTTATATAGCGCCTTTTGCCAAAGGATACAAGGCGCTTAGAAAAGGTTTATAGTAGGAAGAGGATTATTTAGGAAATAAATGAGCTTTTAAGAGTTTTTTGAAGACTTCAGTACTACAAGCATTTCAGATGGAAATAGGAAGATTATTCCACAGTTTTGGAGCAAAGGAAGAGAAAGATTTATCACCAGCAAGTTTGTTGGATTTGGGAACAGATAGACAGGAACCGGAAACAGAACGGAGAGAATAGGTAGAGGTTAGGAAAATCAACAGGCAAGAGATATAACTAGGATTGGAGGACTGCAGTGTATTAAATGTCAGCACTAATATGCGGAACAGGATTCTCTGTGACACTGGAAGCCAGTGGAGATGATTAAGAAGAGGAGTGATGTGACAATATTTGGGTCTGCAACATACAAGGCGAGCACACTTATTTTGAAGTTTCTGAATACGACTTAAATTATATTTACTGATACCATAGAGTAGTGAATTACAGTAGTCAAGCCTGGAGAGTAATAGGGCACGAACAACATTATGACAGGTTTCAAAATCAAGAAATTTGCGGATGCGGGACAAACAACGAATCTGCCAATTTATGGACTGAGAAAGGTGTGTTATATGAGCAGTCATATTCATTTCATGGTCGAAAACAACCCTGAGATTTCTGATAGTTGGTGAGTGTCTAATAATGTGACCGTCAAAATGGAAGACAAGATTTTCAAGGATTTTATAGTGATAATTTGAAGAAGCAATGAAGAATTCAGTTTTGCCACTGTTAAATATCAGTTTATTATGGATCAACCAGGATTGTAAATCGGTGACGCATTTAGATAATCTAAATAAACAGCAAGCAGCGTCACCAGGGGTGTTTGGGTTAAAAGATAGGTACAGCTGAACATCGTCAGCATAGATATGATACAAAATTGAATGCCGATGGATAATGTCACCAACGCAATGAATGTACAAAGAGAAAAGCTGAGGACCAATAACAGAGCCCTGAGGGACTCCGAAAAGAAAATACAATTTTTTCCCACCCTCTTCTGCACATCTTAAAAAAAGACAAGATTTGTAAAGAAGGTATTAAAAAAGTCTCTCCTTATGTAGGGAAAAGAATTAAAAAATGATTGTTTTTTGAAAAATACTTGGTAAAGCAATGTGTGTCTTTTTTCAGAAACTTTTTTGATTACAGTGAAATGTTGGCTACATTTAGTGCTGTACATTTTTTTTTTACTAGACATCTTTATGAATTAGCGCAGATGTCACCAGGTAATGCTGGTAGGTGTGTTCATGACCTGATTAAGGACAGGTACGAGGATTTCAAAGGCACCACAGAGGGCAAAGGAAGGATACCTTACCCCCAACCTGATGTGGTGAGTTATGTCAAAATCGCCTCATTTCGAGAGGTAGCCTATTCTCACTGTCATATTTCCAGTCAGTATTACATTGAACTGGTTTTTTATCATCATTAATTCCATCACATTTTGTAAAGTCCCATTAAATATGTACTGTCCGCTTGACCTAATAAAATTAAACAATAAAATTCAATATTTTTATTACTTATTCATATTTTAAAATTAAGTAATATTTGCTTCAATTTTGTTCTTTCAAATTAACAGACAATAGTAATACTGCTCCTATATTATTTGCAGAGACACATAGACTGATTAAATCTATTTGATGAATTGATCCATTTAATTATTATTTTATTTATTTCTTCTTTACCCTGGGTAACCTGGGTTGCCTGAATCAGTGTTAAAGTATTGTTATCCTTCACTGGGCCCAGCAGCACATACAATAATATGCAATCAAATGACAAAAATCAGGATAAAACTACAAAGGCAATCAATAAAGGCTATAAATTCACAACAATAATATTAATATATAGCACGAAGATGTTTTTCGCTGCTTTTCATTGCAACTGCATCCATTCTTCCATACATTATGTTGATTTGCCTTGTGAATGTTTAATGGCCAGTGGTGTTATGTTTTTCGTTCCCCAATTTCCTTTGACATTGGTGGGCGGACTGCATGCTGGTTCTTCTTTGTAAATTAAATTAAAAGAAGTAATAATAGAAATAATAACAATAATAATTATTATATAATAACAACATTAATAATTACGTGATAATATGATAAATATAACTATATAATAATAATAATAATAATAATATAGTTAAAAAGTCTGTAAATTATTTTATGTTTGTCTTTGGATGTTAATTGCTTATTTTGACTTTTTTCAATGAGATTTTCCAAGATTTTATTTGTCTCCGTTAATTTATTTTTTCTTCGTTTTCATATGCCATCAGAATATAAACTAATTTTTCTGTCTTTTATGTTTTCAGCTCCTATGTTTTAAGTTGATATCAGTCATTTTTCCAACCTCTGACTTTAGACATCCTGTTGTCACGCCAACACTATTATTTATGGGTAATATTTTGTCAAGGTGCTCAGTACATGACTGTCATGATGTTGCCATTGGGTTGTTTATGTGCAATTTATTCTTACAGGTAAAGGAATCTAAAATTTAAAACATGTTTTTTATTGAATTACCTTATTATAAAAGAAGAATAATGATGATGATTATGTTGATGGTAATGTTATATATTTGATATGTAAATAATATATGAAAATTTATATGAATGAATTATAATGAGTGAAGGCGCTACTTTAGTAGTATTTATCTGTCCGACATAAAAAATACATCAGAAATTTGTTTGTTTTTTACACTCTACAAATCTTCAATACAACATAATATAGACAAACAGAATACAGGTTCAGAAAAAAAAATACAAAAAACATCAACATCATTGCTGGTAAAATTACTGTACAATTATAATTGTATAGATTACAAGAAAACATTTTTTTAATATAATTTTTTATTTATTAATTTTTGCATACCTGTATTTTTGCATAACTGTATATGTACAGATAGATAATCTTTTATCTTAATTATATGTTATATATTACAATTTTACTAATAAATTACAGTATCATAGTTATTTTCATATCAAACTTGGCAAGCTACTCCCTAATTATGAGTACGTTATTTAATGTCTTCTTTAATTTTTTAATTTTTTTTTTCATCTTTTCAGTATGTTTCTCTGTGTAAACGATTTGTCCCAGAAGTGATCAATTACTTGCATGGAATTTTGTTTCTTGCAAAGGAGAAGAATCCAAATAGGATATCGCATCATGTGATACCTCCGTTTAAACCTGTCGGAAAATTCACAGATATACTTCAACTAAAAGAAAATGCAGGCCAGATAAAGTAAGTACAGTACAATATATTCTATATTATTTCAATTACATTGAAGTTTATTAGCTCTTTGATGAGGAGCTTTAGTAATACCAGGCTGATTGATTAATAGATCTTTTTTGTAATTTGCGGCCATGATTGATTAATAGATCTTTTTTTGTAATTTGCGGCCATGATTGGTTAATAGATCTTTTTTGTATGGGCTTTTTGTGCTGATGGCTTAATAGACGTATATGCAGGAAATTCTGTACACATAAACTAGAGGTGATTTCCAACAAACGTTCATTGCCCTTTTTTGAGTTGGACCCCAGGATGCCCCATACACCTACAAAACAAAACAGGGGTTTCAGCAAGGACTGTACATTACTGCCATTACCTGAAATAGGACACGTTTTTTTTTCTTTTTTTTTTTTTTCTTTTTCAATTTTAAGACATTTTATTTTTTCAATTTTTAAGACATTGTAATTTTGTACAAATGAACATTCTAATTATTTAAAAATTTCTATCTTACTCATCGGAGCTTTTCAGATTATGAGACTTTGTTTTTCCTTCTATTATTAACCATCGCATCTATATTTTTGGTTTGTACATTGTTTTTTTATCTATGGTTAATGATTATAATACAGTAGAACTTCTCCTTTGGGATGCCCCTATGAAGGGGACATATCACTATGAAGAGGACATGTTTCCATTAAACAAAGGGAAATATACTACACTATATAATACACTACAGCCAGGCCCTATTAAGGGGACACAAGGCAACAGAGACACTTTCAGATTCATATTTATTCACGGATAAGGGTACCCCTATTCAGGAGACACCCTTATTAAGGGAACACTTTTTTGGTTCCGATGGTGTCCTCTTAATAGGAGTTCTACTGTATAAAATAAAAAATAGTGTTATTTACAGTATTTTCTATTCTTTCAAAGGGCTCTTGAACCATTCCGACTATCTACCGCTCTCTGTAGGGAGAGTTCCGAGAAATTAGAAACAGATCAGTTTAGGGTCAACGCTATTGCTCTTTGCCTTGAGTTGGTTCAGAGTTTTGCCATTCTGTACGAAGACCTGCCAAGTTATCGGGAAATTTTCCTGACCATCAAAGAATCATGCTGCTCACAAGACATTCCGTGGGATGTTTATCCAGTTGAAGTTAAGGTGATTTACATAATCGCGTTTAAATTTGCATGTATTGCAAAGTGTATTTGAATCAGTGTATTTTTGTTTTTAATCCTAATACCTAAATTAAATCACACTTATAACCAATTATGTATGTATTAATTGTTTTGGCAAATAATTTTTTTAGGAATTACGAGATCAAGTGGTTAGCCGACTTTCAAAACAGGATGGACAGTTAAGACGCCCTTTAACCTCCGCAGAGAAGACTGTTCCGATGTTGAAAATGTTTGAGCCAAAGATTGATGAAAGGTTAGTAAATTTATATCCCTTGATTCATCTAATGTTATTTTCATACATCTCAATAATTGACCTTTCGAATTTGTCAATCAAACCAGACATTTTGACCAATCAGAAAGTTCTATTTATTAGGCATGTTCAGGAATAAGTGCATTACCCCACAAAGAATAATCCAGCTTCTGCTACATCACATGCAATAGATAGCATTCTCTCATTTTTTTTTTTAATTGCCCTAACAATTTTTTTTTTTATTCTTTAGATAATATTAATGAATTTAAAGGCTTAACCAAAAACCATTTAACGTCTTAGAAATTTTCATAAGGGAAAAATTGTGATATATATAAAGTGAGGCAGTATAATGAAATATACTGTACACATTATTAATACTGAGATTGCTCACTCCATTCATTGTGAAATTGATTCTAGTGCAACACATTTAATCCTACATAATAATAATAACAATGATGATAATAATAATAATGATAATAATAGTATTAATAATAATAATAATAATAATAATATTAATAATAATAATAATAATTCTTTATTTGTTCTAATTCTACTTAATTGGAAACTGCAAATTTGGGCTGTCTGATGGGGACCTGAGGCAGCCACATGGCAGCACCACCGGTTTTAACTACAACATATAACGGACACATACGGATACAAACATCGACCCTAACCCACAGAATTCTCAATATAAGGGTTGTTTGAGGAGCCAAACAATCAGACTCGATGCTGGCCTGGTTTAACCAGTGTCTTAAGCACAAGAAGCAGGAACAATAAATCTTAGCCAGCCACTCCGCTCAATGTTAACCATTTCGCTTAACTGCATTCAGCTTTTGAAACATACCAGTTTCAAATAATCTATTCACTTCCTCCAATTGATTTTGACATTGCAGTCAAGCAGTAAATCATCTTTTATCTCGAAAATTGAAATCCATATTAAAAAATTGTCATCTGGTATTATAGGAAAATTTTTTTTTTTTTTTTTCTTTCTACCAATTAGCTGCTTATCATAGCAAAGGTTTTCCATAACTGCTACTGTCACTTTCTTTATTAGAATAAATATAAAAAAATAAAAAATGAAAACCAAAAAGCACAACTTAAACATTAAATGCAAATTAGGTGAGAATAAAGCCATTTAGAGAAGCTGCCTATTCTTCAGATTTGCTCCAAAAACAGTTAGGTGTTGCTTCCGTTTCTTTTTGTCGGACCACAGAAAGGAGGTCTTTAATCGGAGGGGTTATAGAGAGACCTGTTTTGCTGATATCCTAGCCTTTATCCTGGAGTACTGTCGAAGTGTTTTTATATTTTTATCTCGTGTGCATATTGAGTGGCAACAGATGAAATGGCTGTCTCTTATACCCATCT